AGGTTCACAGTAGAACGCGCATATTTCTTTTTTGGACAAAGTTAGCTATAAGGATGTATTTAATGCGCATAATTTTCACTGCATCATAGGTCAGGTGGCAGGAGCTGGAACTCAAATGCACTAAAACACTCTGCGTGCGACTATCCATAATAAATATGGAATCCTTGGACTTCGGGTCTGTGTAGTATCGCTTTCTTCGTTGATAATAAAAACTGTAGCCCCGAATGATGTTTTCGCGACAACCTTATTAGTTTCTGTTTTACCGTACCCATTGTTTAATTTTATCCTTTAATATATATGTGCTTCTATTCTTTTTCTTTTGGGTAATAACATTTTTCCTTTTTGTTGTCCTCTAAAGCATTGATTTCACACTTTCAGACAGTAAAATGTTAAACTACATGAAAGATGTGCGACACTTTATAATATTAATCTGCTTACCTCTTTTTATTATTTCCAACTTTTCAAAAATCTGCTTTATATCGATCTAAACAATCACTTTACTTTTCCATATTAATTCTTCATTACAATTCATTCGTTTTATATCTATTTGTTGCTAATAATAATAGCGTCATGCATTTATTTTCGAACCTTTCATTTTTTTAAATATTGTTTATTTTGGAAGCTAAATATTTATTTTTCATTTGTTTATTGTCACTTGAATGACAAGAAGGTGAGATTATAGTATATAAGAAATGTCTCAACAAAACAACACTTATGGATCAGGTTTTCATCTGCTCATTCATGTCGCCTATGAAAAAGTGGTGTTTTTGGTCGACAAATTTGTCCACTTTTTATACGGCATCATGCCCGATACATGGTGGGTGGCATCCTATTTATTTCTATTGAGTGGTATGTATCTATTTCACAGTCCATTCCGTCAACGCCGAAACACTGCGAATGACTTTTATGCACGCTTCACCAAAATTTTGCAGATGTGGACCCTAGTCATAATTACATTTTTTCATATTGGTCCTAAGGTTATCCAACAAAAACAACAGCAGATAAGCAAATCTTTTTCTCAAAAGGAGGGAGTGGTTCGGTGCGAGAGGGATGGGGCCGAAGACAACGATGTTTTCCTCGCATCATCGTTTCTTCTACTTCCACTTTTTTTCATCTTAACACACTTTTTCATGTTTATCCATAAAATGAAGAGGCGATTTCATCTCGGGATTACTTATATGCCGAACCTATCCACATTATTTTTAAATTCACTTCTTCTATCCGTGTTCGGCGCGTTACACTACGAGTATTTCAACTACCTATACAATTCCGAACTGAAGTGTGTGCACTGGAGTCCATTCAAACTACTGCGCCCCATTTTATCAGTTCCCAAGGTCTTAGACCGCCCTTGGGAGGCCATGACAAGGCTTTCGGTTATTTGCGTATTTTTTGTAGTGCTTGATTATCAATACAAAAAATTCCGTGGATTTGATTCAGATCGTGGTATTTTATGGGCTGGGCTCTATGACTTGAAAAGCCACTATGAGGGTATGATAAAACTGGGCAAGACGCTTCAAAACACAAAGCCAAACGTTGACTGGAGGGAATTAGATCCACCGCCTCGCAGTTTTAACTCACGTGGTCTTGGCTCAAGATGTCATAAAGCTCACGATTTCGACTCAATTAAGGATCTCATAAGTGGAAATGAAAGTCACTCATACTCAAAAGGAATTCTTTTTTTACCAAGAGGCAGTTCCATTCGTGAATCGACATTCGATTCCCTGAAAAGTAACATCATTTGTCATGAAGATTCCATTGATATGAACATCAAAGCGACAAAAACGATGCTTGTTTCGCGATGTGAGCGAAGAACAACTGAAACGATCCTGAATAAAACTTCTACAAAGCTGGGAAATTCAGTCTCTACCGACCACCAGCGCGCACGTTCCACTTATCTTACGGATCGAGGGAATAGTCGTAGACATTCTGGTGCGGTTAGACATCAAGCTCCTCTTGTTTCTCGCGATATATCCTTCGCACCATCGGAAGTAGAAGTAAAAAATATTCAGATGGTTAAGCACCCGACCAATAGGCCGGGCATGGTGCCCTGGTGGTCCACCTTCATTTTTTCCACTGCCTGGCAGGTCTTTGCGAATGGAATCTTGAAGTTTCTCAGCTTTGATGTGCGCCCGATCCAGATAATGACTCAGCCGAAGGTGTTTGATCTTTCATTCACTTCTAGTTTTGAACACCCTGCACCGTCTTGTTCGATCTCCTTGAGATCCGAAGATGAATTCATAAAGGGCCACATGGATTTCTCAGACTCGGCAATGGGCGCGCCGGGCGATGAATCGCGCGAGGTGGATGTATGGTTCGACTGGATTGCGGATATCGGCGACGGCTTCAACTCGACCTACGAGATGGCCCGTCTGCTTGCGCAGCCTACCATCACCACCCAAGTTCGCGAAGGGGTTTCCCTTGTGGGGGATACGTTTTGCACCGAAACCCACCAGCACGCCAGCGTGGATGCGAACTCTTCCGTCAAACGAGGTCGGGAGAGGCGGGTGACCTCCTCGCAGCTCTACCGGATCGGCCTCCAGCGCAGCCTTTCGACCTCCTCCCTCCGACCTTCCGGGCGTGGGGTGCCGGCCGCCGCGAAGCGGTCCTTGGACGACAGCATCGACGTCTTTTCCCCCTTCTATCGAAATGCCAGCGCCTCGTTGAGGGGGGCCGCCCTCTTTCCCTTCTACCACCGGACCAAACCCCGGCATAAGCTGGACGTCGTGACACTGCCGAGGGGCTCCTTCGTCGTCGTCGGCGGGGACTTGGCGTACCCGAGCCCGAACGACGAAACTTACCAGATGCGATTGTTTGAGCCCTATCAGGATGCCCTTCGCGGCAACCTCAGCCTGCACCGCACGTTTTTTGAGCATCGACGCAGCATTATCGCGGAGGATCCGGAGGATAAGGATATGGTGCACATACGCATGCTCGACGCGGCAACGATTGCGCGCTTGGCTTACGCGGACGCCTCAGTACACACCGAGCACGGTTCAATCGCAAAGATTCTCCGCAGTATCCCGATGTTTTTTGCGATTCCCGGGAACCACGACTGGTTTGACGGGCTTTCGACGTTTCGGAAGTACATCACGGAAAAAACGTGGATCGGCGGGTGGCTAATGCCGCAGCGGAGCAGTTTCTTTGTGCTGAAGCTGCCCTTCAACTGGTTCATGTTCTGCACCGATACAGGCAGTGAGAAGGATATTGATATCGCGCAGCGCAATTACTTCTTGAACGCGATTGACAAGTACATGGACGATAGCAGTTGCGTGATCCTCGCTACCCATGAGCCGGGCTGGTTGTATAACGCCTCTGAGAAACGAACAGAGCCGATACAACCGGAGATTAATCATGTCGTACGGCATCTGGGGGCTCGTTTACGCTTACACATTGCCGGAGATATCCACCACTACTCCCGCCACGTTCCCGAAGACCCCCTTTCGGAGGCTGCGGTGCTTATTGTAAGTGGTGGTGGGGGTGCTTTTCTTCATGGCGTGCGTAATGATAAAATCGTCTCGCAAGGTACTCAGTATATCCGCGGCTGCGCATTCCCCTCTAGCAACACCTACGTCTCCCTCCTTAGTGGGCTTTTTGGTTTCCGTCTTATTAATTGGAAATTTGATCTCATCCTTGGAGTGCATTGTTTTGGTATTATCTTTTCGTTGCTACCGGTTCCTACTAATGTGATTTGTGATTTCAAAATATCAAAAGCTCCAGAAGTTTTTATACCCTGGATGATGGGTACCATAAAACTTATCTCTTTTCTAGTTAGCCAATCTATCGTCTCCTTGTTTTTTGTTGCATTTTCCCTGTATTGCTTTTCTATTGCAGGGGGGGACCGTCGGGAGCCCCTGTACTGGCGTGTATTGTATGGACTCTTCTGGACAGGGGCTCTGGTTTTCGCGAGCTGCAGCGTACTATCGATGTTGCAGGTCCAACAAGTTTACATGAACAGCCACGGGATGCTTTTGTCGACAGAAACCCAATGGCGTAGTTTGATTGACGAGCAAGCGGAAATGATGGCCTTGACATTGTTTCAGTACATCTGTACACAACTAGGTAGCGATTCCTTTTTGACATCAATTCTAAGGTCACTGCAGGGTATCTTTGCCGAAAGTTTCATTTGCCAGTGGATTTCTGTAATGATCCGAAGCCTAGATCCGCTAGAGACGCTTTCCTATCTTATGCTCAAAATACAGTCTAACGAGATTGGGAAGTTCAAGGAGAATGTTTCGCGCAGAGAAATTGCTTTGTATTACTTGCATATGCTTTTTTTT